ATCGTTTGTTTTATAGAAACGAAAACATTTTCACTCAATGTATGAGATATTAAGCGATGTTTTGGACGACAAAGAATTGGTCGCAAAGTTTGATAAATGTCTTACTTATGAGATATTGGCTTCAATTGCGGACATTAAATGTATGGCTTTTGAAAACAATATATGAAAAGTAATTTAACACTAGTTTTGTATTTAAAAAAGATATTAACGAAGAAATGTTTGTCCGCTTTAACTGTCAAAAGACAATGGATTGGTTGTCGAAGAAGATCGACAACACTGTAAATGCAATGATTGTAAACGGGATGAATGTCTCGTGCGATGGCTCTAAAGTGAGCGGATATAAGTCCGGCAAAGAGGACGCCAATCGAGAAAAGGGTTAGTTTTTAAAAACTTATTTTTATTAGTTTTAGTTTTATTGCCATTGAATCCATTGAATTACAAATTGTCGATCAGTTTGTCGTCCACTTCATTGGGAAGAGTGACACAAACTTTGTTATTGTTTTGCATAATGTCTTGAATGGTTTGTTTTGCGTATTGATTGCCAGCCCATGAGCGCCGACTCACGCCATTCATCACCTGTTGATTGGCATTAATTTTCATATGAATTAATTTGAAATTATGTATAAATTGATGCCAAATGAATGCAATGCTATTGACTCACATCCCAACTAAGGATATTAAGTGCCTTATCGTGTGCTTCTTGAGAGCCGTCCAAAACTAAGCCAAACCCGCAGTTTATGGCTTCGCCGAAACCGACCCCTAAAACAGTCAACTAATTTGTGACAACACTTTCTATTGTAATCAAATAGTGAACGGAAAGTCAAAATGAAAAGTGTGTCTAATATATGGGAATTAAAGCCTAGCAAAAGTATTAAAGTGTATGTAAGGAATGTCAGACCGCCTCCATTATGAAGGGCAACCCAAGTGCAACCCCTGCCAGCGTTGCCCATCACTGTTGAGACGGCCATATCTGCAGTATATGCCGATCCGTCGTATATGTTAGACGTCTCTCTGTA